TATAAGCAGCAGCATCCAAACTCTTTTAAACCATCTTTACAGAAGCAAAGCTCTCTGTGTGCACATAAGCGTTCTCATTTGTTTTGTTTTCTCATATGTTAGATTTTGCCATTTTCTCATTGTAAAGAGAAATCAGAATCTACAGGCTGAGCACAGCTGTGTGGAACTGAAATAAAKCCTTCTCTGTGCAGCGCACATACCAGCAAATATGTTTCCCTGATTACTGCAGTGGCTTTTGTCGCTGCATGAATTGTTTTATTTTGTGCAGTAATTCTCCTAGGTGTTAACAGCAGACCTCCATTCTCCACTCCCACATTACCCCCACACACCCCTGGGAGCTGACAAAAACACTTAGAACATTTGTTTTACAGTTACAAGGCTCGGGCTGCGAGTCCTGCATTTCAGGACTAACCCACTGGTTTCGACACACACACACTGTGCTTTAAGAAGGAGGTGTCTAAAACGGGCAAAAACTGGACAATATTTAAATACAGTTCGTAAAGGGAAAACCAGCAAGATGGTTCCTTTTTGATTTTTTTTTTTCTGGATGCTTCAAAATTTTGCACTTTGAACATCTTGAGAATGGTTTTTCCATTTGCCCTTTCTATTTGTGTGTATGTGCCCAACCCTGTGTGTGCATGTGTGTGTGTGTGTGTACATCCTCACCACAGTTAGGCAGTTTCAGTTTGGACAGCAGCTTGCGTGCTCCTCCATCCTCAATGCAGCGCAGCTCCTGAGTGTCTGCTTCCTCTCCTAACAACAGCTTGATCCACATGTTCTCACAGGAGCAGTGCAGAGGGTTCCCTGACAGGATCCTGGATGCACAAACATACACACAAARCACACTCAGTCGTGAACCATGAGGATATAAAATGGATTGTACATTGTAACTTTCAGGCCCCTGGCTTTAAACTGCCAAGTAGTTCAGCAACAACAATAATTTCTTGTCAAGTTAAAAGTAAATAATGGCAAATGTCTCCAGACACTTTAAAACTCAATAATTCCTTAATYTTAATTTGATGCATATGCACTAAAAGGTAATGTTTAAATACAGCTGAATGTATTAGTTGGTTGGGTCAATGAGAAAAAAAAAAGAATAACGATAAATGAAAATTAGGTACCTAMTGTAAAAACTGCAGTATTAAACTTATTTTATTTTCTGAGTAAAGTGGGCACAGAAAAGTAAAAACAGCTGAGTTACTAAAATCATTTGATTCAAGCAAATAACATTTCAAACTATAAGAAAATCAGTTATTGATTAGGCCTCCAGAAAGGTAATAACGGTGACTTTTCATTATTTAAAAGTGTACTGGAAGTGGTTTAAGGCTTCGATTTTTCTGACAATTGTGTTTTTCTGTTACATATAAATTATATTTCATTTGATTTACAGTTCACACACAGGTATTTTTCAGCTGATGCATGTATGGTTCTGTGGACAGATGTGACAGCATTTCACCTTGAGCTGCCTCAGTTTAATATCTTTGCAGCCTGATTTTAAATGCTTTTTGCCTAAAGATAACATAGGATTGAAAGAAAAGAAAAATGTAACCGTAAGGTGGCAATACATCTGTTCCAGGTTTCTGTTTATCACCAACCAACGACTGCCAGCTGACATTAAAGAGTGATGGTAAAGATTTGTGTCGACTCACAGATATGAGATGTTGAGGTGTTTGAATATCCTCCAGGACAGAGATGACAGATTGTTATCTTTCAAATTCCTGAAGATGAAATTGAGCATCAGAGAATAATAATGTCTTTTTGACACATCAACAATACGAGCCAACAGCGCATTCCTGTTTGCACCTGCAGCACATTTTTAACATTTAGCTGGCAAACAATTAGCTCATTAATCAAGTTGTAAATGTTTCACAGATTTGACAACAAATTAAAAATTTACAATTCAAAGATACC